TCGTGGGAAACTTTATAAGAAAACTGGCATTGGAAAATGGACAATTACGGATATGAAAGTCTGTATTTCATTAAGGATTCTTCATTTAAGTGAAATTAACTTCAACCATATTTCCTCGTTTCCTCTTTTTCCGATCTTTATGCAATTTCTTCTTGCCGTTCCATATCAAATAACCATGATGATTCGTTTATAATGACAATATTTTATGATGCATTGTGATCGAAACGCGAACTTAATTAAGGGGGTGTACCACCTTGATGTATCTAAAAACAGAAAATGTTTCCGAATTTTTTTTATAAGTAACTATTGAATAAAAAGCTTTCATTTTTCTCAGAGGATATTAACCTAACTTTGGCGAGTAATCATTTGTACCACGTCACTTCCAAAACACATATGAACCTTTTAATTAGATCGCATCGAGTGTCCAAATACTTATGCACGGTATTGTACACTCTTCATCAGCTTTCAATTCTTCGTCACAAACGATTGCCTGCCTTCCGTCGATAAAGAGACAAAACGTGTCTGCCAAGGTGACGACCGAAAAAGGCAGAATTCGTCGTAGTCGTTCTATTTCCAGTAGAATTCCGAAATAAGAAAAGACGAGAGGGATGAATATCGCAAGCTCCTTTTTATTAAAAACGGCAATGGGACGAATCGAATCATACTACTCGTGGCTCCCGCTTCTTATGAAAGCAAGTCGTTTAATGAAAAGGACAGAAATCCTGGAGAGAGAGAGAGTTGAATTAAATATTTAATCAGTCCTGTTTTTTCACTGTATTCTCACTGACGCGTAATCTTCAACGCTGGTTGAGCTTATGAATTCATCTGGCACAAAAGAAGCTCGATTTTCTTCTGAAAATTATCGCGAAAGCCACAATGGAATTCCAACCGGTTCCCCCGTTTATTACTTCGATTTCACCAAAAAAAAAAAAGTGGCGTAGGTAAACGACAATTCGGAGGTAGGGAAATCGAATCGCTTCGTTTGAACACTATTGCTCGACGCGGGGCCGCGCGGTAACGGGTGATTTGTTGAATTATGACCGACGCTGCTGTCCGCCGCAGCGATCGTGCTCACGTGTGTCCCGAACCCCGGTATTAGCATACTAAATCCGATTGACGTACTCAGCTCGCGTTCGTGAACCCCCGTTTTAATTAGCAGAAACGCGATACGTCGCTTGTCGCCGAACAGGTAGTGCTTCAGATTAGTTGTACCCGAAGAATTCTGTTCTTTAAACGTTGATAACGAAGTAAAACATTTGGGCAAATAGGGAAAAATGATTGAAAAATATTTATTTGCAGGGCGTAGCCAATAAGTCAAGAACCTTAATTAAAAAATGTTTTCTTTATTCTTTATGCGTGTTGTCAGTCTAACGTCTTCAGCATAACTAACTGATTTAACCCTCGTACGTTCCTCAGAAATAGTTACGCAAGAGATCCTCGGGTGAGATTTCACCTATTGTCGTTCTATATTTTGCTTAATATTATTGTATTCAAATACACGAAGTTATAACACATTCAGAAAGAAATCAAACATAGTACAGCATCTGGAAAGAGGTGAATTTTCACCCGAGGAGTGTACAAGGATTAAAAAAAAATCAATGTTTCACACGTTCGCAGCCAACTCACATAACTCATTCATACATGTTTCACCTGCTTTTTATTTGACACAGCACATCTTAATAAAAATTGAATTATTGATAAAATTTTGAATATTTGCAATGTATTTAGCGCTTATGACTGTATTATCTAAATATTTCACTTTCTATCCCCGAAAACAGTGATTCACTTTTGTTTAACCAACCGAGGTTTATGGCACGGATTCCAGGCGGCGTTACTTTTGAGAAGTTTTTTTCTACGATTTCTTTGATAACAATAGCCTATTCAAGCCAAAGGGCAAATCCGGTTTATTACTTGATGGCCGCGGAAATTCTCCACTTCTGCGGGCCACATGGTAAGCTGGTACTTACCTCTGCACGCTCAGTAACGGTAAACGTGCCGTAAATCCGTAAAATCGAGGTTTCGGCAAGATCGCCACGCGTGGCTGACACCCCTTTTAGGACCGCCTCTCCCTCTCCGCCAACACCCCATTCTGCGGACCATGGGAGAGTGCTCGAGGGCCTAGGAGGGCGGCTCTAGGGGGTGAAAGACCGACGATATGCCGATGAGGTTAGGTCCCTACCTTGACAAAATCATATATAACAAGCAAATTCACGACCTTCTGAGGATTCTAAGTAAAACACTCGACATTAAGCGCGGCCTCGTCCGCGATATTCAACATTGTCAAACCACAAGTGCGGTCCAGTCCGCAAAAATCGACATTTCAAAATAAAGTGCGATCACCATCGCGACAACAATTAGTTGGCATATACGTGCAATAATCTCCAACGCCAACCCGACCTTCCAACTATCAAGAAGCGCGGGAAACTGCGTTAACAACTATCCTTATCCCGTTCTTTAGCGAGGTATTCAGGTTAGACGGCTGACTTTTCGGTCGATTTCATGATTTCTTTCCTAGGCGACGAGAAAAGTTACAATATTGGTGGCTTGTGTATACCTTCATTCAACTTTTGGCTGCGTAAAAGCAGTAATAAGGACTTGAAGCGAACATTCTTTGTTCACTTGTCCCAAGGCTGGCGGCTTTACTAATGACCAGAAAAAATTAAACCAAGCGTTTTCTTAATCCTTAAGAGTGTCGCTATAGTCTGAACCGCGATTATAAATTAGAAAAATTTTTCCACAAAAGGGCAATGGGTTAAAGTCAAAAATACGTTTTTTCCTGCGGTTTTCGTGAGTTTCTGGTTTCGTGAGATTTTGGTTAAAACGTTCTCAGTATGCAGTATAAGGGAAAAAGCAATCGGTCCAATAGTTTCTGAGAAAACCTTGGGAGAGTGTTGGAAAACTTGGTTTCGACAAAACTGCATTTAAATATTTCCTAAAATCTGCGTCAGGCATGGTCTTGAGTCACTCAAACCTTCGTATCTCTTACAATTTATCCAATTTCAAAAAATCGTTCGACAAACATATTCTCCAGGTTACAAGGAGCTCAAAAATGCAAAGAAAGGATCAATTCTTTAACCCTGAATACCAAAATATCTTCTTAAACTTGACCATTCCTGTAAATTCTAATCTGTAAACCCCACTCGTGACATTTCACAGTCTTTAAAACCTCTTCAAAGCCATTTTTCCGCCGATAGAATTCACTTATCCAAACGAGAAACTGTATGGACCAGTGTATCGAGTTCTACAATATCAAGTGTCGAAATAAATTCAAGTTCTCTTAATTATCCCGTCCGAATGTTCGTTTCGTATAACAGATCCCTTACATGTTCATTATTACACGTATTCTCATTAATCCTAAATTGTGTATCTGTATTATTTATCAATTTTGCAACACGGCAAAGGGGTAACGCTAGTTAACGAATAAATGAACATATTGTCGGTGATAATGCGGACTGACGCCGATGATTATAGGATCGTTTCCATTTCGAGGCGGGTTCCAGTCGGCGTCGCTACACACTGGTCAATAATGCAACACGCAATTTAGTTACTTACGTGCGCTTTAACGAGAGTTCGCCAAGTACACTGTTGGATCTTTAATGTTTTCTAGGCGGGTTAGCCATTAAATCGAAACGACCAGGCTAATGCTGTCGTTTTTGCCGCGCACAAAGATACTCGCAGCAAGCCGTTCGGTTCTGCCGTGGAAAATATTTTCATTTAGCTCATTATGAGTTACAATCTCCATTCCTGAAATTCCCTTAACCTATTACCAATATCATCTTTTTTCTCTTTCAAGTGAAACAAACTAAGCAAATTTTTAATTCTGGTTCAGTGGATACTCGTGTTTTCTGTTGTATCCACAGTATTATTGTATAATAGTGTCGTAAAAATGTTCGCCTGTTCTTAGGAAGTTTTAAGAGGCACGGTACGAGGGTTGTAAAAGAGAAACTGAGAATCGCACAGGGCCACAAGACAAAACCCTTGTTGATACGTTGATCCTTCTTAATAGAAAAAATACAGAAATAGAGTGAGTGTATGGGGGCAGAGGAAGAAGGCAAGGGATGAGTATTTCCCTTGCAAATAGAGTCAGTGTTGTAGGGTTGGAGTGCTATAAAGCTGCGGGTACATTGTGTAACATAATACGTTATATAGCAAAGTTTGAAACTTGAAACTGGAGATATGGGATTTGAGGGAAAAAATTACAAATTGAAACTTAAGATGTGTGATTTGAGGGAAAAAATTACAGCTTGAAATTCAAGATGTGGCATTTGGGAGAAAAAAATGCAACTTGAAACTTAAGATGTGTGATCTGAGGGAAAAAATTACAACTAGAAACTTGATATGTGGGATTTGAAGGAAATTTGATCTGCTACTTTGCTCGAATAAATGTTCCACGAAAAGTTCAAAAGTTGCGTACTATATAACATAGCACGTTGCATAGCAAAGATATAAATCTTGTTAGAAAAAGAAAAAGAAAAATGTTCTATAACTTTATGTTAAATAACATTTTTGTTATATGTTATCTCTCAAGTGTCGGTAAACATAAAAGCTAGTTATAAAATATTGTTATACGCCAGGCGACTTCAAAACATGACTTCTGGTACGCTTATCCGGAAAATATCAATTTACAAAATTAAGAAAGAAAGCAAAATTTAATTACTGCCTTTTTTCAGAACTTATGAACGAAGTTACGAATGAAGTACGAATTATCTAGACTAGTAGATCACGACATACGCTACAGGATTTAAAAGTAAATAATTTCTTTTCCGTTCTCAATAATTCAGTAACGACTGTTTACATTTACTTCACATTCTATAAATGTCCCAATACGTCTGAACGAAAGTGCATGTGTATAACCGAGACTTGGAGTGATTTGTTATCAGAGTGAAGGAGCTATTTAGTGGCAGAATACCCTTTTAGACGCTCTAAAAGCTTGACGATAATCTTTTACGGGGGCGTCAAAAGTTTATAGAGCGACGGCTCTGAAAAATGGCCCTTTAAGAATGCGCGCCGCGAGCTATCAAGTGTCAGCAATGCCGATCGATCAGCAGATAATTTTATTGATTACAGCTGGCGCGAGGGCTGGAGGAGGAAGGAGGTATCCGGTGATCGTGTTCGTGCACGGGGAAAGCTACGAATGGAGCAGCGGCAACCCTTACGACGGAAGTGTGCTGGCGAGCTACGGGGGTGTCGTCGTCGTCACCATAAACTACAGACTCGGCATTTTAGGTGAGCAGACGTAACAATAAAAGTATTACACAGGTAACCCCCGTGTAACACGGCACTTCTGTAACACAGTTCGAGAATTGCGGAAAACCCTCGTGCAACGCGGCATCATAGAACACGGTGTCACTCTAGCACGGTTTGAGAATTAGGAAAGTACCCGAAAAATATGGAACGTAATAAGAGTTTTTAAAAGCAAAAAATATTTCATTTGAAATTAGGGAAATCCCGGAATAACACGGAGCATAATAAAAGCTTTTAAGAGTAACAGATATCTCATTTGAAATTTTTCATTCGAGGGTGGATGTCGTATCGGATTAGACTGCAGAATTTTAAGATTAATTAGAATTTTAAATTCATTGTGTTCGTGGAGTATTATGTTCATACATTTGAAAACTTTGTGTTTTTCTTTTTGCTAGATTGTACATAGATTACAAATTTTCAGGTGACTATTATTCAACCTTCTTTAAAGAAATGGTAACTGTTTTTCACTTTTGTGAATTAATTTGCAGCCCTGAATTATGTCTTGGGGAAACAAAAAGAATACATACTATTTTTATTTAATACATATTAATATGGTACACTTTTGGTGAAAATTGCTTTAATAGAGATATTTCTCTTAATTATAAAAATATAATAGTATATGTAAGAAATGCGAGATTTCGGCGGCGAAGTGGTGGCCTGCGGAGCAACGCGGGATACGACGCGGAGAGGACACTCTGGAAATAGCCGTCGAGCGAGACGGACACCGAAGCATTTAGCAGTCGCTTATCACTATACTTTAATACATTTTTGGTTGATACCCTATCCTGTGTTAAATTTACTTAAGTTGTGCTAACATACATTTCTTTTTCATTTTTGTGCTACTTCTTTGTTTCGTATAACGCGGATTCGCATAAAACGCCATTTTTTAGGAACCTAACAACCGTGTTATACGGGAGTTACCTGTGCATGTAAAGTTAATGGTAATAGAAAATATTGGTACAGACAACCCTTCTGTAACGCGATATTTTTATAACACGGATTCCATATAGCACAATTTAACACGTTTAGGACAGTGTGAGCGGTGGGTCATCGATATTTCTGTTTGCTGACGTAACCCATAGATGTGTTATTCAAAATAATGGCAAAAAAGATTGAGTAGATGGGGTAATCTAACGGTGGATCGCCACATTTTCAGACTACATACTACTGGGTTTGGGCAATATGTTATATTTAGTTGTTATATTTATTAAACTATTCTTTATTCTTTATGAGACGACATAGAATGCAGTACATGAGACTTTAGACTGTCGCGTCTAGGCGAGCCACGCGACCACAGGCCCTAAAACAAAAGACCGCGACTATTTTCCCGCTGCCTGCCCTCAGATGTCATTGCTTGCTCGACTCTCAACACAATAAATTAACAGAAGTTGTATTTCAAACGTGATATTTAACCAACACACACACCTTTCACTACTTGAAAATTACCGCCATAAGGATTCAAGTCTAAAAGTTTTATTGCATTTAGGCAATAAATTAGAAGGTGGTATTTCAATTATAAACTATCCTTTATTTTTATACGCGAGGAAGGTACGTCGCTATACAAGGATAAGAGCTCGACAAGACGCGAAGAAAAAGAAAGAAAATATCAGCGTTCATCCATACTAAACAGACGGTTACTATGTCATTCTTCTATCTCAGTATGTTGATCTTTTCTGCTGTTACCATTACACACACGCACTCATTTCTCGTAATAATCCAACAAGTTTGTTTACATTTTCGAATCTCTGTCGCCGATGTATGTAAACATCGTACGCGTGACACTTAGCTGAAAAATTGGCTGCAGCCCCGTTAATACTTCACCGACATATTTCTTCAGACGTATTATTATTGATTTATGCAAAAAAAGAAATCGACGTCTCCGACTCGTTACACGAGTTTGTCCCCTTAAATCTCAGCCAGGATCGCCGTTTAACGACGTTTAACATCGCTTGACATGTGTTCCCTCGCAAGAAATCGCGACGAACCCTCGGTCTGGCGGATTATCGTCATGAACTTGTTCAATTACACTTGGCCGCCAGACCGAGGTACCGGTCCTCTCGCGCGTACCGTAACCCCCCGTGCAGAGGTCACGTGCGCGGTGGAAATTCACGCGGCAACCCCTGGGAAAAACCCAAAAAATGGGGTTTTCTAATTTAAGCAACAATCCCTTTCCCTTGGAAGGAGTTACATCCCACCTAAACAAACTCCATCAATGAAGACTCGGTAACTACACCCCACAGAGGAAATCGGCCATCAATCAGCAACTGGCCGAGTTGATAAAACCAAGGACACGAAGCTGGAGCGCGTCTTTGGCAGTTGTTTTGGCAGTTAGTATTTGATAGTCACGTCACAGTATCACCTTAAGTTATCACTCTTGTTGTAAAATAAAATAGTTGTTACAAAAGGCAGATTCGTCTCAGTTCGTCTTAGCATTTCACACTGAATGAATCGAAGTGTGAATAAACTCGCGTACCGGTTCGGCACTTCAGCATCGAGCATTACGCGACCCGAACAACATGTTTCTGTAGCTATCCAGCTTGCGTTTAAAGCACGGTGAAAACTAGCCCAACGGGACTCCCTCGAAATTTCTCGCAATAATCCGACACATACTGAAAAATTAAGTATTATCGCGTTGAATGCCGGACCAATTCTACGTAACTCCTCCACGGCGCCGAAATGAATTTTTTATTTAAATACGACACGTCCCAATATGCATAAATAATATGCCAACAGTTGGAAATAGAACTATTTAAGTATTCTGTGCGATGCTTTAGATGAAAATTTGACAAATATTACCATTTATCAACGTGTTAATAATACGTATTTCGGTCATAAGAAGACTACGGATTTTTATGCAAATTCATATTATTAGAATTATGGTAATGAATTAAAAGATATTATTTTAATTATGAATCTTCTTTATTTTGATACGCGAGGAAGGCACGTCGCTACGCAATCAATCAAACAAACATCGACGAGACGCTGAGAAAAAAAACGTATCAGCGTCACCCATACTAAACAGATGGTTACTATGTTATTTCTATATATATTAATCTGTCTCAGTATGTTGATCATTTTTGCTGTTACTATTACACAGACACATACTCATTTCTCCTAATAATCCAACAGAAATTTCTACGAATATACAGCTAGTCGCAGAATTGAGTGTACACTCGTATTGAATCTATATTTCTTAATATATAGCAAAAAAAATTGCAATAATTAGTAAATTTAAATATTTACCTTTATTCTATTACTGTTTAATTTCGACTGCTAAATAAATTTTTTTAAAAAAGGAAACTAGTTTTCTTTTTCCTTATTGTTTCCAAACATGCAACGATTTTACCAACGCATAATTGAGCGTACAGAATAGGAATCCCCTAAAAATGAATATTGTTATGCATTTGTTTTCCAATTTTATTGTAGAAAGACTACTATGCAACATCGCAAAATACATTACGTCCATTGTTTTAATCTTCATTTGTTATTTTGCGTCAGTTACAACAATGGCTCCGGAAAGAAAGGAAACAGACGTTTCTGTTCGTCAAATTATTGTTAATTTATATTCCAAAGGGAAGTCTCTTCGGGAAATCGGCAGTACAATTGATAGAACTCATTCTACTGTACATAAAGTAATTAATAAATTTAGATATGAAGGTACGCTACAAAATAGAAGCAGTCGAGGGAGAAAGAAAATTCTTTCCGAATATGACGAGCGATATATTGTGCGACAAATTCAAATTAAACCTAATACCAGTGTACCAAAATTAACAGTAGATGTTTCCTCAGGACTTGATAAATCTGTGTCGAAGGGTGCAATTCGTCGTGTATTATATATTTAAGTATATACATACGTAGTATTATATATTTAAAAAATTTTGTTCAATAGTTTTTGATTTAAAGGAATATATTACATAAATAAAAAAATTATATGACGAAAAGTTATGTTATTACTCTATTCTCTAAATAAACATACTTCTAATATGCGTGTACACTCAATTTTGCGATTAGCTGTAATTAAGAAAATAGAAGCTAGATAGACAATTGGTTTACTCGCTAAATATTACAATGAGTACTGCATTTTCGGTTTACTTATATACTTTTGCTTATTACGTGCATTCTGTGTACTTTCGTGCCTTCAAATTTTCCATAAACCCATAAAAATCCACAGTCTAGTCGTACGAAACGCTGGCAATAGTGAGCGTTTCGTGAATTTTCGCTGCAGTCCTGAACGTGTTAATAACTTGGACAACCCTCACATAGCACGAATTTTTCCACCACGCTGTTTCGGTTGAAATTAACAGGGAATTTCCCTTGTATACATAATAACTGCGTTCTCTCTCCTTTTTTATCAACGATTCACAATGCGAAGTCTGTGTATCGCTGTGCTTAATGAAATCTAATTCAGTAGACGGTTCCTCGTTAATAAATTTGGGCGTATTAATATAATTGTTTAATAAAGTGACTTTTGCCTTGCTTAATTGTTTCCTATTATCGTAGCTGGATAGTATTTACATTTTGGGTATACAGGCAACCCTTCTATATAACACGGTACGAATTAATAGTTTTATAAAAGGGTTGCCTGCACTACTGTGTCGGTCATGCTGTTTGCAATTACGTAATTTTTAAGTGAACAATTGAAAAACGTTCTTTTAAGAAGTTCTCTGGAAAAGGTGGACTCATTAAAAACGTATATTATTACTTATAACGAGAAAAAATGTGTGGTACAATATTAAAGTAGCGTACGAGAGAAACAAAAGCACTCGTCTAACTCTATTCGGAATAGACTCCTTTAAAACCATTAGATCAACAAGGGGAAAATTCTGTAGTGTTCCTTTTTTTTTTCTTTTTTGAAGGGAAAGAAGTAAGTTTTTTTAACTAAATTTTCTATCGATGCTGATAATTATGTTAAATAATTGAGTTAATGTAGGGCGAGTCCGGGATGGAGAGAGGTTTGGCGGAATCAGCTGATAAAGGCGAGA